ATTTATTTCTGTTCAGCAGAATAAACGGAACACCGTTTTCGAAGAAATATGCTCGATTTGATATTTTCATTTACCAAAAGACGCCCAAGCTGCCACTGTGCACTTCGATGATAAACGATAATTTCACTGCTTCACTGACAAGGTCGAGAATTAAGTCAATACTGTCGCAAGCATGGATCATATTAATGCGAGGAATATATATTTTAGCTTGGCATTATCAACTTATCCTGCCGGTATGTTGGGAAAGCAGGATCGATTGATGCCTTTAACCTTTCAAGCCAGACGCTTATGATGGTTTTGTTGTAATTGTATGTAACTTCTGGATAATATTGATATGGCGGAACCCGTGAAGATCCGGGTTAGAATTGGTATTCAGCAACCAGTGTTTATCGTAAGAGTCGACTAACGGGATGGAGTGGTCAGGCTCCCTGACTTGGTTGACATAATGTTTATGTCATCGTATCCCAATTGTGTAGATCGATGCTCATGCTGTTGAGCACTGGATTGTCTGGACCAGGTTCGATTATTTACAGACCGCCGTCATATAGCTGGAATATTGTTGGATGCGGCATTAGATGCTATTACAAACGATATACCAGAGAACCTTTGTTTTAATTTTCCAAGCAGAGCAATTGGCCTTTAAAGGTGGAGCATCAAGTTAGATACAGGAGGACAAATATATAGCGATGTCACTTATCGCCAGGTTCGGCGCTAAGACACAGGTCTTGAAAGAGTGGCACTCCCCATACATATGTATGCTATAAAGAGATATAGTTAATCTCTTTATATCGCAAGGTTAAACTGAAATATCACACAGATAGAAACAGTATAGAACGTAACCGTTGAATTAAATAATTATACATATTTTCAGTTATTAGAAATGTAGTAAAATAATGTTTAAAACATTTTCAGTTTTATCTGCTAAAGCAAAATCACCATTGTTTTCTTCCAGTTGCAGTCATAACCTTCCCTTCTCTTGTTTAGTACTTATTGTTTTGATTTGATAAGGTGCAAAAATGGATAAAATAGATAAATAGAAAATAAAATTTCAAGGAAAAGCGGAGTCGAGGCGAACAATAAGAAGCGAGTCACCAACACCAGTTAACAAATTCAAATAACTCTGGTGATCTGAATAAGGATGGGAAATGTTCAGTATATGACTTATTGTGGTGGGTCTAAATCACGTAAACACGATGAGAATATTTGCGTGCAGTGAGCCCTTCAATCTGCACAGCCTTGCAGCCAGCGCGTCTCTGTAAGTGGCTGTATACATGTAACTGTAACCAGATCTGTGTCTGTATTGGAGGAGAAATGAGTGAGTGAGTATAGGTTTAGGCCGCTTTTAGCAATATTCAAGCAAATATCACGGCGAAGGACACCAAAAATTAAGGGCTTCCCATATTGTACCCAAGTGGGGACTCTTCCGCGTAACGACTGACTGACTGAGTTTGGTTTTACGCCGCTTTTAGCAATATTCCAGCAACATCACGGCGGGGAACACCAGAAATGGGCTCCGCGTAGCGAGCGGGCGATTTAACCATGAGGCTACCCCGCCGCCCCGGAGAGGTAATGAGGAACTATTGGAGGAGTGATAGATATATTGTCCAAATTCTGATTTGGTGTCCGATATAAACTAATTCATGTAATGTTTCAAAGGAAAATAACGTTTATGAACTGCGGGTAGAGTGAGTGACCTACTAAATAGAGATTATTACACGAACAAGTGTGTCATACGACAAACGAGTCTGAAATTTCTGCATAATTTTCCACGAGTTTCGTTCAAGTCATATGACACACTTGCTCGAGTGTAATAATTTCTTTATCATTAAATTTATCCATGTGCATTTGTGCAGTAAAACACGGTAAGCAAGTGTGACGACCCTCTTCATTGATGTCACGTACAATTGTTTAATGACGTCACGGACGACGAAATATAAGGATATATGCACATATCATATCTATGACACTGGTTATGTTTTACCATATGTAGTCACTACGCTGACAGGTCTTGCGTTTGTGTTGAGAGCGAGTGAACATAGTTTACGCCGCTCTAACTAATAAATAATTTAATTATAATGTCACTTATAAAGCGCAAATGTCCACACACTTAGGAATGCTCAATGCGCTGAAAAAGAATGGAGTGAAAAGAGTCAGTTATAAGCACGGTGAAACAGGTGGGTTTTAACTTTTGACTTGAAGGTTGAGAGAGATTCACAGAGTTTGATCTCTAGAGGTAAAGAGTTCCAGAGAGTTGGCGCAACATAGGAGAAAGCTCTCTTCCCATATGAAACTAGGTGGAATTTGGGAACTTGTAGAAGGTGTTGATTCTGGGACCGGAGTGATCTTGGTGGGGTGTATACTGGGATGACTTCAGTAACACAGGGGCGTGTCACGCTTAAAAACAGCGTTAGAAAGAAATATAGGTATATAAACCCTACCCTAGTTCTATTCCTTTTATATAGTACTAGGGTAGGGTCTATATACCTATATGCCTTCAAACGCTGTTCTAAGCGTGACACGCCCTGTGTTCAGTGAATGGGGTGGGGTGGGGATGGGGGTAGGGGTGGGGAGAGAACTTGATTGTGCAGGCAATCGAACGCGATGCAGAGAAGTTTGAACTTGATTCTCTGTTGCAAGGATTTGAAAACAGGAGAGATGTGATCAGATTTAGTCTTTAGAGAAATAGTTCTTGCAGCTGTACTCTGTACTTTCTGTTATCTGGAGATATTGTGTTTGCTGAGGCCGGTCAACAGTCCATTGTAGTAGACTTGTTTAGATAACACTAGACATCTGACTAGCATGTGGGCACATTCTGCTGTGATGTACTTCCTGGTGTTGCCTATGGAGCTGAGATGAAAGTAACATGACTTGCTCATCCTGTTGACTTGCTCCTGCAGTGAAAAGTCTGCTTCAATTCAAACTCCGAGGTCTCTCACAAGTCTGGATGTGGACACTTAGTAATAATCTTGCAAATTCACTGCGGGGAACTCAAGAGATTGACTTCACACACAATATACTTTGTGCGGACTGAAATCCATGTAATATGTGAATGAGTGAATGTTTAAAGTCGCGTCAGCAATTTTGCAGCTATTCGCTGCTTACTCATTTGATATGTAATCCTCGACGCTATATGGCTGAGAAATGGCTCATGTAACGTTAATTTTAAATATTTAACGTACCATTATTCAACCACAATGACACAACATATATCAATATATTATAAGGGACCGTTCATAATTTATGGCTAGAGGGGTGATGATGATTTAAAGGCGGGGGCATCCATTTTGTTCTGGGGAGCTAGAGGGTCATCAATTTTGTACACGCGGGGGTGGGTGGTGGCATCAATTTTGTACCTAAAGTATGTTTATACTTATGCTTAGAAATTAGGGGAAGGGGAGGGATAATTGATTTTGTACATGACACGGGGGTATCACTTTTGTATTGATAAATTTTAGGTGGGGGTGGGGGTCGGGGTGGGGGTGGAGTGTCATTCACATTGTACATGCTTCTCCATAAAAATCACCCCCACCCTACTAAAGTACTGTCGGAAATGCTAGAAAAATGATTTTTAGCCTTAATATCTTTATAAAGGTAATAAATGTACTATGTTGTCAATGTATCAACTCGCCTATTGTCTACCTTATTTTTATTTCAATCGATTTAACATTCCCATGCATTAAAAGGGCAGTTTACAGGAGAGAATTTGGTACCAAAACAGCAACTTAAGATTTTTTCAGAGTTCAACAACAGAAATCTTAAATAGTCTTTACATTTATGCTAATAATACAGGTGGTGTAAAAATATGAATTAACGTTTTTCCTAAACAAATAAATATTCAATGTTTGTGTTACTTTACTTAATTATCGTTTCTTTATTGAAGAAATATTATTATAAATGTTAAGTCTTGATAAATAAGTTTCCCGTCATGCATGCACATCTTTATCACAGCGTCCACTATGGCCAACGATTTACAGTCGATTGTTGCAAAGGTTTACGTTTTTTTTCTGCTTGAAAAAGACAGAGGTAAACCCTTCATTAAGTTAGAAAGGGTTTATTACAAAACTTGTAGAGCTGTTGGCATGTCTTACCAACAAGTTTACAATATTGTAAACAAATCAGACAAGACAGGGACCGTCTCAAATGCAAAACCGGAACGTAAAACCAACTTTGACAAGGGAATGCTTAGACGGGCCGTCTACAAACTTTATGAGAAGAAAAATATACATATTCTAAAGAAGCTACACCAGTGACTTCGTTAAATCTTTGGCCAATGTTCACAACTAGATTAAACTGACCGAATTACATCCATATGTTTTCAATGAAATATACTGTTGACATGCAAAACATTTATTAAAACGTTGCACATTTCTACAATCAATCGATAAGATAACACAAGTGATTGGACTCTTTCCAATGTACAGTAATTCGTATGTTTATTTCAAAACAAACACACATACACAAATGATCCCTTACATAACCGATACGTATACGTACACATATTCAACATTTTGCAGAAAACATCTATTGAGATGACCCCTCGCCCGAGCGTGTGCTCAGGTGTCAATTTCACCTGTCGATACCGTGGATGCTGATGACGTAACACAGGCAATTAATGTTTGTATCAAATAACGTCCCACTACCCCTTATTTTTCCAAGTTTTTTGTACTTCATCAGTAAAACACATTTTAGGGCATGTCTCAAAATTTATTCTCTCGGTCTACATTAGGTAGATGTTTCTTGAAGTGATATTTGTTATTTAAGTAACTGTAATACCTCTGAATATTAAATATAAGTCAAAAAGCATTTTTCTAGCATTTCCGACAGTACTTTAGCCATAAATTATGAACAGTACTTAAGTTTTAGGGAATATCCATGTAAATGTTCCCATCCATATAAACAAATCCAGCGTTACTTTATACGTATCGATACAGCACTAGCCAATTATACACCTGTTGGCATTTACATATATAGTGACATATCAGCTGTTGTTACAGGCTGACAGACATCAAACCGTATTCAATGTTGACCTCAAAGAATCGATTGCCTGACAACGTGGTCAAAGGGAAGTAACGACGAGTGTTTCATCAGGCCCGTTCACTCAGCAGATCAGATCGGATTACGCTGTCACTGTCCTGGCGGTCTGGAGAAGACGGCAACGATTGAAAGGCCATGGGGATAGTGAAGTCTATCTTTCAGAGTGATACATCGGGTGATGACACCAGAAATGAAAAGCAAGTGCTGACGGGCAGCAGATATCCCCAGTACCAAATGTAGGTCAAACTTGTATACAGTCGTAAATCTTGTGTGTACCATAGGGGCTTGTCACGCTTAGAAACAGCGTTAGAAAGACATACAGGTATATAGACCCTGCCCAAGTACTGTCCTTTTAAATAGTACTAGGGTAGGGTCTATATACCTATATGTCTTTCTAACGCTGTTTCTAAGCGTGACACGCCCCAGTGGTGTGTACTATATACGTGTGCATTGTTTTCGCAGACAAATATTGGTCTCGGCTCTCTTGGTGCTGTACTGCAAGTGACAACATTGTTTTCTCATCACATTGTGTTTTCACTTACACTTGTATAAGTGAGTAGTGTATTGTAATTCTAGATTCTACACATCAATTAATTGATTCTGTAAACTGTTTCAAATATATCGTCAACAAATGACCAAATTGATGGACGGTTGAAGCGCTCATAAAATCACCACTACCGAGCCGTTTAGATTGGGTTGATCTAGGTAATGTAAACAGCCAAACTTTAGAGTCGCTCTGATTTCTCAAAATATTGCATTTTTCAATATTTCTTATATAAACTTGTGATGGGGATGTATGTAAATGCGTGATGTAATGTTGTTGTTGTTGTTGTTGTTGTCTGCAGCGACGTATGTCATTGGATATTTCTTTAAACTGAAAATTTCACTTGCACGCATTTGAAGACCCGGGTTTGATTCACCACATGGTACAATGTGTCAAGCCCATCTCTGGTGTCCCCCGCCGTGATATTGCTGGAATATTGCTAAAAGCAGCGTAAAACCAAACTCACTCACTCACTATTACCCTTTGACGTATTTCTTATGTTGTAGTTCAGACGCAAGCCCGTCAACAAAAGGGGTAGGTATATAACAGACTTTACAGTAAAATGTATATTTTTACGAATTATTTTCTGAATAATTTTCCATTTCAAAACAATGAAAACTGTGAAATTGTGTACTATTTTCTTTGCAGCATATTGAAGGGCTACGGGCGAAGGCCAATGACCATCGTAAGCGATACCATGATCTGTCTGGGCGTGCTAAAAACAAGCCTACAGTAGCGGACACAAAGCAGACGCTCACTTATTTTCACAGCAGGTGATATGAAGTGATTTATTAAATTAATTCGAAGAAAACGCGAAAACATCACGTCCACATGCTCCACATGAAATATACCAACACATTTTCTCTCATCCCTCTGTAGGAAAAACGTGAATTATCACAGCTTTAGTTGATATTAGGATTAGTATGTTCAGGCATTGTAGTAGTAATAGTAGTAGTAGTAGTGGAAGAAGAAGAAGATACTGTTATAGTAACAGAAGCAAGAGCAGCAGTAGTAGTAGTAGTAGTAGTAGTAGTAGTAGTAGTAGTAGCAGCAGCAGGAGTAATAGTAGTAGAAGCAGCAGTAGTAGTAGCATCATTAGTAGTGGTAGTAGTGGCAGCAGTAGTAGTATAGTAGCAGTAGTAGTAGCAGCTGGTAGTAGTAGCAGTAGTAGCAACAGTAGTAGTAGTAGCAGCAGTAGCAGTAGTAGTAGTACCATCAGTAGTAGTAGTAGTAGTAGTAGTAGCAGCAGTAGTAGTAGCAGCAGTAAGTAGTAAGCAGTAGTAGTATGTAGCAGCAGCAGTAGTAGTAGTGTAGCAGCAGTAGTAAGAGTAATGGTAGTAGTAGCAGTAGCAGTAGTAGTGGCAGTATTGTATTGTAGTAGTGGCAGCAGCAGGGGTAGTAATTATGGTAGTATGGTAGCAGTAGTGGTAGTAGTAATGCTGGTAGTGGCAGTAGTAGCAGCAGTAGTAGTAGGGGTAGTAGTAGTGGCAGCAGTAGTAGTAGTAGTGATAATAGTAGTAGCAGTAGTAGCAGCAGCAGTAGTGGGTAGTAGTAGTAGTAGCAGCAGCAGTGGTAGCAGTGGTAAATAGTAGTGGCAGCAGCAGTGAGTGGAGTAGCAGTGGAGTAAGTAGTAGCAGTGGTAGTAGTAGTAGTAGCAGTAGTGGTAGTGGTAGTGGTAGCAGTAGTAGTAGTAGCAGCAGCAGTAGTAGTAGAGTGGTAGCAGCAGTAGTGGTATCAGGTGTGGTGGCGGTGGTATGGTGGCAGCAGTGGTAGTAGTAGCAGTAGGTAGCTGTAATAGTAGTAGCAGCAGTAGTAGTAGTAGCAGCAGTAGCAGTGAAGTGAGTAGCAGTCAGTGGTAGTAGTAGTTGAAAGTAGCAGCAGTGGTAGCAGCAGTAGTAGTGGTAGTGGTAGTAGTGGCAGCGAGTAGTAGCAGCAGCAGTGAGTGAGTAGTATGGTAGTAGTAGTGGGAGTAATGGTAGTAGTAGCAGCAGTAGTGAGCAGGCAGTAGTAGTAGCAGCAGTAGTAGTAGTAGTAGCAGCAGTAGTAGGCGGCGGTAATAGTAGTGGCAGTAGTAGCAGCAGCAGTAGTAGTAGCAGCAGTAGTAATGAGTAGTAGTAGCAGCAGCGGTGAGTAGGTAGTAGTAGTAGTAATGGCAGTGGTAGGTTGTAGTAGCAGCAGTAGTAGTAGTAGCAGCAGTAGTAATAGTAGCAGCAGCACTAGTAGTAGTAGCAGCAGGAGTAGTAGTAGGAGTAATAGTAGTAGTAGCAGCAGCAGTAGTAGCAACAGGAGTAATAGTAGTAGTAGTAGCAGCAGCAGTAGAAGTAGCAGCAGTAGTATGAGTGGCAGCAGTAGTAGCTGTAGAGTAGTAGCAGCAGTAGTAGCAGCAGCAGTGGTTGTAGCAGCAGCAGCAGCAGCAGTTGGTAGCAGCAGCAGCAGTAGTAGCAGCAGCATGATATTGTAGTACCAGCAGCACGCCAACCTGTAGCAATATGTTAACTAGATATCGCCCTGGATCCCCATCAATGTACTGTCTGCCTTTTTCAGCGGCTCGGCAAGGCAGCGGCAGCGGTAGTTAAGCTACACACGCCATCCTGTTGTATTTTAAATTCAGTGGTATATGCAGCCACTATTCAGGAGGGCAAAGGATGTTTACAAGAACATAAAGATATACCATACACACATACGCATATCCAGCCTTTGCACTTTCACCTGTGTATTTGTAGAGTTGCGCCCCTTTGCAAGGCCAAATTAAATAATCCCTGCCTGATCCTCTGCCAGGCACCATCATCACAATTATCCCGGCTTCCACAGAAGCAGTCGTGAGGTGGAGGCAGCTTTGAGGTGACAGTGATGAAACTACTATTTTATGCTGTCCAATGGAGCATACAACACAGCTCATCCACCCACTTTCTTCTTTCAGGCTCACGCCAATAAGGAGGATATGGAGGACGCCAACGGAGAAGCCGTGGACCTTCTGATCCGTCAACAGTAACAATTTGACTATTATCATATGGGTAGTTTCATAACTGGCAGGTCCAGAATATATTGTCATACGATTGGTAATTTTATCACTGGCAAATCTAGATTATATTATCATACGATTGGTAGTTTTATCACTGGCAAATCCAGATTATATTATCATACGATTGGTAGTTTTATCACTGGCAAATCCAGATTATATTATCATACGATTGGTAGTTTTATCACTGGCAAATCCAGATTATATTATCATTCGATTGGTAGTTTTATCACTGGCAAATCCAGATTATATTATCACACGATTGGTAGTTTTATCACTGGCAAATCCAGATTATATTATCATACGATTGGTATTTTTATCACTGGCAAATCCAGATTATATTATCATACGATTGGTAGTTTTATCACTGGCAAATCCAGATTATATTATCATACGATTGGTAGTTTTATCACTGGCAAATCCAGATTATATTATCATACGATTGGTAGTTTTATCACTGGCAAATCCAGATTATATTATCATACGATTGGTAGTTTTATCACTGGCAAATCCAGATTATATTATCATACGATTGGTAGTTTTATCACTGGCAAATCCAGATTATATTATCATACGATTGGTAGTTTTATCACTGGCAAATCCAGATTATATTATCATACGATTATTAGTTTTATCACTGGCAAATCCAGATTATATTATCATACGATTGGTAGTTTTATCACTGGCAAATCCAGATTATATTATCATACGATTGGTAGTTTTATCACTGGCAAATCCAGATTATATTATCATACGATTGGTAGTTTTATCACTGGCAAATCCAGATTATATTATCATACGATTATTAGTTTTATCACTGACAAATCCAGATTATATTATCATACGATTGGCATTTTATCACTGGCAGATCCAGATTATATTATCATACGATTGGTAGTTTTATCACTAGCAAATCCACATTATATTATCATACGATTGGTAGTTTTATCACTGGCGGATCCAGATTATATTATCATACGATTGGTAGTTTTATCACTGGCAGATCTAGATTATATTATCATACGATTGGTAGTTTTATCACTGGCAAATCCAGATTATATTATCAAACGATTGGTAGTTTTATCACTGGCAGATCTAGATTATATTATCATACGATTGGTAGTTTTATCACTGGCGGATCTAGATTATATTATCATACGATTGGTAGTTTTATCACTGGCAAATCCAGATTATATTATCATACGATTGGTAGTTTTATCACTGGCAAATCCAGATTATATTATCATACGATTGGTAGTTTTATCACTGGCAAATCCAGATTATATTATCATACGATTGGTAGTTTTATCACTGGCAGATCCAGAGGGTTGGTGCAGGAGGAGTACTTTGTCATTATTTTGTGAATATATTGATGATGATAACCCATGCTTGTCGTAACAGGCGACTAAAGGGATCGGGTGGTCAGGCTCCTGTCTTCTTATTCAATTTGTGTAGGTCGATGCTCATGATGTGCATCACTGGATTGTCTCGTCCGGACTCGATTATTTAGAGACCGCGGCCGCCAAATAGCAGGAATATTGCTGAGGGCAGCGTAAAACTTAACTCACTCACTTGAGGTTCAAGATGGAAGGCGATTATACCAGGCATTTGTTTCTTAATGGAAATCATGTGACGTATTGCTTCAAGAGAATCATTTCTTTCAGGCAAGATTCGATCAACCAGGGAGAGCTCGATCTGCACGGATTCTACGTGGATGAGGCTATTGATTGTGTGGAAGATGTGCTAGATCAGCATAGACAAGGTACCACGGGAAACCAATCTTCTCATAAATACTTTGAGTGACATTTATAAGTTGGGAAGTTCAGTGAGTGGGTTTAATTTTATGCCGCCCTCAGCAATATTCCAGCTATATGGCATCGGTCTGTAAATAATCGAGTCTGGACCAGACAATCCAGTGAGCGACAGCATGAGCATCAATCTGCACAATTGGGAACCGATGACATGTGTCAACCAAGTCAGCGAGCCTGACCAGCCGCTTGCGAAATATTCTTCCCATCAAAAGTTTAGACTCACTGGAGTAAATATAACCACATACTTCAGGCAACTGTTCTAACCCATTTTTTGCAAAATATTCCATACTGTTTAAAGGTACTGTTTGCACATGAACTGATGTATTGTAAAACAAATTCGTAACGTTGAATAGATTTTTGTCATGAGTTCAATAAATGGTGGAACTCAGTGATAATTGGCGAATTCTGAACAAACCTCTACACCAAAACGCAGCTGTTTACATGCACGATATTTGCACATGCTTTTCAGCAATTTGATGCATGATCCTCGTGCAGTTCTTCTGTATAAGGTTTGCAGTTGGTTCCCCCAAGTTAGTGGAGAAATCAATCTTCGATGTAACCATATATATATCCACAACATATAGTGAGTGCTTTGAGTGAGTCTAAACTATTGATTGGAAGTATGGTTGTGTTTTGTAATTCACTGAACAAGCTCCACACAGCGATAGGTCTAAAGAAGTTGTGAACGGAGTCAACATCAAAGGGACACAACTCTGTTCAGACTACTGCTCCACGTTTTCAGCCGACCAGTCAGGCAGACACCAACTGACGGTTATCACTGGGAAGGGTCTCCACAGCACTGACGGCGTTGCTAAGATACGTCCGGCTGTCATCGCCTATCTCGAGAAGCATAAATATAAGTTAGTTCTAAATATACCCTTTCTACTTATGTTTCGTGACAGTGCTCCTCACGGGTATGTTTCACACATATACAAATAAATAAAATACACCCGATATTTTTTCTTAACGCTTAAAAGTAAATCTGACAGGTTCAAGTAAAATGATATATAACTGGCATATATCCGTGTATTTGATTGAAGTTGAACCGGCTTATTGTACATGTTTCATGAGATGATTATGAAATCTTCCATTTTCAACGATCATAATTCCATATTTTTACAGGTACACTCTTTCCCCGGGTGTAATTACAGTAGACATCCAGAGAGGTGCACGTGCCACTCCAAGACCACGGGGGAACAAGCAGGAATGCTGCCTCATCTGTTAACATTCAACCAATCACTTGCCCTCACTACCATCACTGCGGGGCCGGTGGGGTAGCCCAGGGGTTAAATCGTTCGCTCGTCACGATGAAGACCCGGGTTCGATTCCCTTCATGGGTACACTGTGTGAGACCCATTTCTTGTGTCCCCCGCCGTGATATTGTTGGAATATTGCACAAAGCAGTGTAAAACCCAACTCACTCACTCACTGTCATTAGTAATGCCTTAGTACCTTTGCTGGACTAGAAATATTTTGAATGTGTGTGTCGTGATTAGCACACATCAGCATCAGGTACATAACCTGAAAAATAATTGTGAAAATACTCACACAAAACTATTTGGGAAACAATCATGTTAGGTTTGTGACCATATAGATATGTTGTATTTTTATTTATTTTTATTCTATGTTATATTTTTAGAAGTATCTGTGCTTCATTACTTGACCTCGCAATGTGGATATTACCATCTAAGCTGATATCTTGAATGCACGATTTTACAGAGCGAGTCAAGTATATGAGAAGAGTTTGCAGGAAAATGAATCCGTACTATTTATGTCATTCTTTCTGATGCAGCTGTACAGAGTATTGCTCAAGTACTGTATTATTTAAAATGTGTTTCAGTCAGATTATATTAGACCCGAAATATGTTTTCAGTATTCAGTAAATCCAACCGAAGGCCACTGTTGCAGAGCGGAACAGTGTTGACTGTGGCTTAAAATAACACTCACTTCCTATACCTGGATCAAACACAGTCATTTCAATATTATCAGGACAAACACGGTAATGTAATTATTACCAGGTTCCCTAATGAATTAAAGGAGGTAGGACCATTGCTGCAGTTACCGTATATCCTCATCTGTCCCTCGTTTGATATATGTTTTTCTCTATGTCATTACTGAGGGGGGCTGTGGGGTAGCAAATGGTTAAAGCGTCCGCTGGTCAGGCTGAAGACCCGATTCCCCATATGGGTACAATGTGCGAAGCCCATTTCTGATGTCCCCCTGCCAAAAGCGGCGTTACCCCTACTCACTCACTCACTCACTCACTCACTTGTAAGGGCTACTGTTCTCACCAACTCTGCAATGTGTGTTGTAGGCTTCCAGCGCTCTTCTTCATCTCCGATTATTTACAAATCATAAAATATTTTTATAATATTTGCATTTTTTTCCTTTATCACTGACCGGCTAAATGTTTTACTGGATATAACTTTGAAATAGAATTTCCAGATCGAAAACCGAGGCGGTTATGGGGAACCAAGGTGTCGGCCCCCTCGAAAACTCTTCCCTTTTCACTTGCCATTAAGTCCTACTCGCTCATAGGCAGATCTTTCTTGCGGGATGATCCGTGACCCCATGGCCAGTGGTATGGTGAAGCCAAAACATTAAACGAGGAAATCGGCAACCACAGTCTGCAATCATTCTCCAACATTCATCAGGGACACGAACTTACCATTCGTGACCCACTCGTGATATTCCGGAAATACCGAATATGGAGGTTACGGAAAGGGGCAAGTGGTGACGACTGACGAATCAAGTTGTTGCCAAATGCTAGCTACGTTCATGGTGCAGACTGTGGAGGCGATAGTAACTTTGTATCCCTTTTACTAAGGACTTCCATGTATTATTGGACCCGTTCTTTATATCAGATATTTCCTGTTCCCGTGCCTTAACAAAATAGGGGCGGTGGGGTAGCCTAGTAATACTGAATGTTGAATGTTGACAGCCGCCATGTAGCTGGATATTGCTGATTGTTGGTTTAAAAAACCAACCAAACATCCAACTACTCCAACTAGTCTCCCTGTGCCCGTAGCGATGTACATGACATGATATATATGTGGTATTTTCACTGCTTGAACTGCTGATTTCTGCCGTATCACTGCTACTATTTTGAAAGGGCATTACCTATGTATTTTCCCCTCCGTATATGGAGGTTTTTTTCACATGTTGCAATAAAAACTCTTATTACCGAAGAGCTTAGTGTCGTGTTTGATGACGTCATGATCTTTATCACGTGTCGGGGACCATCGTCAATTCATTGCAAACAGTAGTTGAAATCACCAACAGCGTTGATCGTGAGTTATGTTCATGGCTACCCTGAATATATATATTTCATGGTTCCTCAGACCAAATACCCGTGAAGATCCGGGTTAGAATTGGTCTTTATCAGCCACTGCCTGTCAAAGGAGGCGACTAACGGGATCGGGTGGTCAGGCTGGCTTACTTGGTTGACTCATGTCATCGTGTCCCGAATGCGTAGATCGATGCTCATGCTGTTGATCACTGGATGTACAGACCGCGGCTATATAGCTGGAATGAAACAACGGTGGCGTTAAGCAACCAACAAACAGTTTCTTGAATGGATGCACCAACATTTGGGCGAGACGAGGGCGTTTCGGACCTTCTTACCCATCCTCGAGGAACCATGAATATAACTCACGATCAACGCTGTTGGTGATTTCAACTACTGTTTGGGTACGACGTTTCGATACAGGTTCTTGTATCGTTTTCAAGTATGAATAGTACGAGTCGCTATTCGACTTGTTCCGGAATAACACGAGTTGGTCACGAATGATGTAGTAGTGAGAGAGAGGGCGGCCAAGAGCAAACCATGTCAGCGTTGGAGTAGAGGGCCACACGGTTTTCAACCGTTTTAAATGTGTTACACCCTTTTGCATAGTAACTATGAGTTGTAACTGTAATGGACCTGAATGAAGAAGTGGACCAACACCCTAAGTTTGTGGAACCTACATAAATTCCTTGTTTTGCCACAGTCTCCTCACTCTATGTATTGTTTCTATGTCATTATACTACACGTTTTTCAAAATGAAATTGGGGGCGGTGGGGTAGCCTAATGGTTAACGCGTCCGCTCGTCACGCTGGAGACCCGGGTTCGATTCCACACATGGGCACAATGAGTGATACCCATTTCTGGTGTGCCTAGAGTGTGTAGGTTGTACTCACAGTCGTGACCCACGCGTGCTGTTCCGCGACAAGCCGAATATCTTCTTGGAGGTTACGAAAACTGGCGGGTGGTCACGAATGTTCTTGGAGGTTACGGAAAGGGGCGGGTGGTCACGAATGTTCTTGGAGGATACGGAAATTGGCGGGTGGTGACAATGACGGCGACTTGTGGATTGTGAACGTAATTTAGAATGGATGTCCGGAACAAACACAACCCACTTAATATTTTAATATTTCTTAAATAACCCACCAAGAGGCATTGCAGCCGGACACGCCTTCGGTTCGACGAACGTTTAATCTGTCAATACCAGATGTGAATTGGATGGAAACAAACTTCTTTAAATTGAAAAGGGGCCCAATTGAGATAGAGTGAGTGAGTGAGTTATTATTTAACGTCACATCGGCAATATTGCAGCCATATCGTGACGACCATTGAGATAGGAGATTCAGAGCCAGAACCAGATGAAAATCTATTCTTGCTTCATTTAGGGCTTTAGCATCACACTAAGGGCTGGGTGGAAGAGAAAACAGTATGGTTGAGAGACTTTGAGACGGACTATAGTCTGTTTGCAATGAAAACGTACCGAATAATTTCACTTTAAACAAAAAAGTAAATCAAATAAAGTGAAATTAATATTACAAATCGTAATAATTTTACCTTGCCAATTGAACATTTAAACCTCAGAATTTTATTCATCTTAGGATAAAAATTGTTTAACAAACAATCATACATTGAAATCGCTATCATTGGTCTGTATTAGAAAGGGGTAAGCGCAGTAGTTGGAACAGTGAAACAAACGCACGTGCGGTTCGTGATGAACGTTAACTTAGACCAACTCTACTTGTTCTCGGTGTTTCATTTAATGTGCATACCCCCTTGTAATACAAACCAATAATAGCGATTTGAAACTATGATCGTTTGTTAAACAACTTTTATCCTAAGTTGAATAAAATTCTGAAATTTTAAAGTTCATTTGGCAAAATAAATTATGAGGATTCGCAATGATAATTCCACTTTATTCCATTTACTTTTTGTTTAAATTAATATTCACCGGTACGTTTTCACTGCACTATAGTCCTTCGGTATGCTAGCAGATATACCCTGGATAGCTTGTGTGGACAGCAGCTAATGAGCATCTGGTTTATAACGACTTGCTGCGGGCACTTTGCAAGAAATTAACGCAAATGTTTGGACTTCGTGTCAATCCATGGTGCTGGTTGTAATTTTTGTGATTGTAGAGAAAGCACAACCGTAATATATGTAGTATCCTGGATTATGAGTGAATGCGTAACCTAGTGGTTAGAACTTTCGCTCGCCACACAGAGGAAACGGGTTCGATTCCCCACATGGGTACAATGTGGGAAGCCCTGTTTGGTGTCCCCCGCCGTGATATTACTGGAGCAGCGAAAACTAAACTCACTCCAGGGAAAACATCCAAGATTATGTTTTTATCATGATGCAGTTGATAAATAGTATGTGTATGTCCATTACGTAACAACAGAATTGGAAATGAGAAACTTATCGAAACTGGCCATGTCCAAAAAACTACATTCCATTAGAGATCTATTCGACTTATCCTTCTATGAAAGTTAACAAATTCGGTTTCTATCTGTTTTGAGGTTTGCAATAGCAAACTACTTTGCTAAAAATAAACGGTGTAAAACTGAACTCACTCACATATTCCGTGTATGGCCCGATGACATGGAATACAGTAAACTCAACATGACTCAGTCACGATGATATTCCTCAGTGTAATGTAGGTGAGTAAGAGCGTGTGAGTTCAGTTTTACGCCGCTTTTCTCGGTGTCGTGAATATTCCAGCAATATCAAACGGGGACACCAGAAATGGGCTTCACACATCGTACCCAGGTGGGGAGTGAACGAGCACGTGACAAGCGAACGCTTTAACCACTAGGCACCTCAATGTCGAGAAATCGTCAGCAATGTCCTAACTTTCTTTAACAAAGAAGCTTCAGATGGTTTATTGTTTTCGATTCGAGCTTTTAGGCAGCGAGCAGCAACATTAATAACATTCTTTGCTCCCCTATTTAATGAAGTTAACTCGACCTGCCGTTTGTGCCATATGACCCCCGGGTCATGCATATGTAGAGTAGCTCAGCTGAACAACCTGTAGTTGCTGAGAATGAAAAATGACACATTTTCAAAAGTTTCGGGCATTTCTGTGTCGACCGCCGATCTTACGGAGAAAGACATAACCTCGCCTTGCTCCATGGCTACTGAAGGCTTAAAAGCCCATGGGTGTATACTAATTCTATCCTTTAAAGATGCAAGTCTTGATAAGCGGACAGTAAGAACGCCAGTCTGTTAGAGGGACATTTATACTTTTTAGAAGTTATCATTTTCACTATTGATTATTTCCTTAGAGACTTGTGCAAGTCTAGACATAACCAAGCGGCGTAAATACGATACCTCGTGGTTGCCGAGACAACGCGAAGCCGTGGAACAAGTCACAGCGTTCAAGTTCTGCAGCTCGAGCGATTATAACGACGCTCACCAGTCACTGGTGTGTGCGCTACGAGGGAACGACACACTATAACCTTACAATATCAACAGAGATTCGATCAAAACGTTTGCAAATGGGAACCAGACTGGGTGCCGAATTATAAGGATGTTTGACCATTCGTGACCAACTCGCGTTATTCCGCACAGGTTACGGAAACGGGCGAGTGGTGACGAATGGAATGGCGTTAGACTTGTCGTCTTCCGATTGGTTTGAATTTTTCTGTTAAATATGAGCTGTTTCTAATTATAGCATGGATTTGGATTTTCCCAATGAATAAAATCTATCTTGGTTTCGTTTATGTCATACTGCGATTATTTCTCTTATGTCGAGCTAACGTCTATGATTCAAATCATTTAGACCAGGAAACAGCTACATTAACGCTATGGAAGAAATAACTCGGACACTGATCATTGTTGCGGCAATTGTAGTGTCGCTAATCATCATCATCGGCTGCGTGTACTGTGTATATTGTAGGTAAGTACCTTTGAAATAACCAATGTGACCTCTCAAACTAAAAAGAAATAAAACCTGGTGTCGTACCATTACTATGCACACTCAACCAGGTTCAGTCAGAGAACCGTAAATGATCCCGTAGTAATATTACAGGTCCGTTGACAGAGAAACACATTCAGGTTGCACCTCTCTCTCTCTCTCTCTCTCTCTCTCTCTCTCTCTCTCTCTCTCTCTCTCTCTCTCTCTCTCTCTCTCTCTCTCTCTCTCTCTCTCTCTCTCTCTCTCTCTCTCTCTCTCTCTCTCTCTCTATCTATCATCAGGGTAGGCTTTTTACTGTCAAGAACCTAGCTGTACCTTCAGTAACACTTCGGCAAAATCGCTATTGAGTTGGATAAAGACATTACACTGAAAATACTAGTTGCTTAAGTATAGTAGTGCCGTGGTTAAGGGGTTAACGTGTTTTATGAGGTTGTCCACTACTGACGTAATGTTAATTCCATAATGGTTCTATATTTCTAATCCACAGAAAATGGAACATCGAAACACAAAGTGGCGAGACAAATAGAGGAAACATAAAGTACCAAAAGGTATTTGTAATGAGACAGTTAAATGTGTTCCATCGTCATCTGCTAATGATTATTGAGATGTGTATTGATTAAACCAGAACTCTCAGATTTGTTCCAGTCGTGTACCTGCGGTAGGTAAACCATGGAATCATGACCACATAAACCGGTGGTTGATGTTATGAATAAGGTTCGACCTCGTTAGGGCACCCTGACCTGCAATTAGCTAACCACCTGATCCGTTAAGTCGTATTTTGTTGATCGAAACACCTGTTTTCTATGAGTTGAAGGGTAGGAAACAATGTACACCGTTTGTGCATATGAAGGGTTAATATTTAAATATATGTACGTTCTTATGTCATATTTTTGTGGTTTTACGATTTATTGTATATTTTAAACAGTTCCGACTTCAAATACCCTTGACCTTCACGGGGAATCTGTTAAGAGTGCGCGGTCTCTTGTTGAAAAGTTCCTGAAAGAAAAGAAACAAGGTAAATGTGTGTATGTGTGTTGTGTGTGCGCGCGTGCGTATGTGTGTGTGCGCGGTAGTACTAGCACAGCCGGTGTTACAGTGCCAACTCACCCATATTCCGTGCTTTTGTTAAACAGGGATCGATACCTTCCTCAAGTGCTCCTAGCAAACTCCGTTCTAAACTACACAAACCAATGTACACAATGTTTGTGACTTCCACAATGAAAATCTTTTCAAAATATTGAAGTTGTTTGTTTTAAAAACAATATGGAAAATACCCCACAGAAGCGTACTTCCTTCTGTTTGTCAGTTTAGTTACAAGTCAAGAATCAGAGGGCAGGTGCGCAGGTTCCATGTTCTAACGTCTTTTCATATACAGCGGCCAAGCGCCCGAACCACCGATTTTCATGCCCTTTATTAACCAGACAACGGAGACTATATATTTTGTATAACCTGACTGTACTATATACCATCAGAGACCCTAGCACACTAGCTAACACCATATTTTTTATTGAATTGCTTTTACACAAATAGGAACATTGTGTGGTTTTATAATATAATTAACTAACACTGAAAACAAATTATTATAAATAAGGTTTCGCTAAGGGTCTTTTTGTCCAATAGAATCTGATTTAATAAGAAGCAAACAATATTATGAAAGATATAGCGAGTTTTATCCTCTGTTATTTTCAACTTGCCAACAGGAATGTTTCTGATTTTAGATTGCAAATTATTTCGATGTGTCATGTGTATAGTTAGTTTTCATTTTGTTTGGAAACAAATCATAACATACTTCAAGTTTGGCCAGAATTTAAAACCAAACCTATAACCCATAAGACATCCACCTTTTTTCCCAGAACAAAGCTGGAGTCGTCATGGACAGACACTGTCAATCATCACAGGAAGGGGAATCATAGCCTTGACGGGCGTGCTGTTCTGAAGCCGGTCGTTGAGAAACAACTGAGACAAAACGGCTACAAGTTAGTGATGACGTTATATTTTACAAATCTCCTTTTGTCAAAGTGGACTTATGCACTGCAGCTCGTTTTGCATTGGGTGCTTTTCGGCCGTACTATGATCTAATGATAATCCTTGATTCTCATCGATTATGACCCCTGGTCCTTTAGAGTGTATAAGTTGCTGTCGTGTAATGCACGGCAGTTAGCTTGTAGAGTTGCGTCCCTTGCTTACACCAGGAACCTTAGAATTGTAGGTTTGAATGGATGGTCTCCCCGCGGTTTCACCGAAGTGGTAAAGTTCTGAGACTGACATGGTGGTATAACTGGAAAGTGTTAAAGGCGGCGTTAAACCCATCTCACTCACTAACTTTGTCCGTTAGCGCTATCTGCATCCACTCGCTCGCTCGCTCACTCACTCACTCCTCACTCACTCTCTCTCAATCAACTCACTCACTCACTCCTCTCTCACTCTCCTCACTCACTCACTCACTCCTCCTCCACTCTCTCTCTCTCTCACTCACTCCTCTCTCTCTCTCTCACTCACACTCTCTCTCACTCACTCACTCACTCACTCACTCACTCACTCTCTCTTTCTCTCTCTCTCGCTCACTCACTCACTCACTCACAATAATTCAGCAATGCAACGGTGGGGACCGCTGGAAATTAACTTGACATGTTGGGATTCGAACTCTTGTCTATGGCATAACAAAGTAACGCTTCGTGTATCCTCACACCTACCCTGCATCTCAGGAAATGGTGATACGTCTGCCTTGATCTGCCTGTAAATCAACTGAGTAACCATGTAATAATTCAAACCCGAGACTTCTACTTGACTAGGGAAAGCTTTATGTACTAGGTTCCCCAGTGTAACAATTATGTGATAACGTGTGAGTTAGTTAACGGTTTGTTCGTTTGCTTATTGTGTTTTTTTCTATTTCAGATACACGGTGGATCCAAAAAATGCGGGTCGTATCATTGTAAAACTTGATTATTATAATATGGTTTAAGAAGCATTTTATGCTTTTTACCAGTATAACCATACCCGCATGCATGTGTTCGAGAGACCAAGCATCAGACCATTTCCTAATAATACCAGTATAATCATACCCACATGTGTTCGATAAGGATTGGAAAGCCACATTAACTCGGTGCGCCTAGTGGCTGCAAGAGTTGTATGGTCCCAGGAGTTGAGATTGAGAATACGATGTGCAGTTGAGATGACATCCAATGATCGAGGGGAAGATACCAGCGCCTTGAGCATGTACAAGTTGCGTGGATATCTGCGCTATATAAATATCCTATAATAATATAACAATAATAATAAATTAATTATACCTGTCCTAATACTCAAACATAAACATTAAACAAATAAAAATATAAATATCACAAACGAACCAGTTAACAACGGATGTAACGATATCAAATGGACCACTACGTTTAGTACGTTATAACTGTAGTTCATTTTACGAATTTCGACTAAAATGAGCAGTGGTCGGGAAAAGGAAATAAATGTTTGATATATCAGTTTGTTTTAAGTTTTTGGTTATAAACACGCAAACCAAGAATTCTTTCCGATAAGGGAATATCAAATTGTCAAACAGTTGATAAGCACGTTGTTCACCGTATTCAAAGTATGGAGTACTGGAAGGGACATTGTCGCGTTGTCGCCCGTACAAAATGATCAAAAGTGGCATGATTAACCAAAATGTGACAATACGACAACGCGACATTTTGACCAACTGTCGCTCTATCGCGCATTTTAACGTTTTGTTTACACATCTTAGATGGGATTACAACGCGATATAGTTTGACATTGAAAACTGTCGCGATGTCGCATTGTCGCCCTTTCGTTGAAAGAAATATATTAATATTTCATATTTCAAACCTCGACAAATGGCCAAAATGTTGCATTGTCGCGCTTCCGTTAATTTTACCATCTTTTGCATATAAACGACCAAGAGAGTTGAGCGTTTCGTAGCGGTATAACCTCCCCAAACCCCAACATCTCATAACCCCTACAGCTTATAACAACAAAGTTCATGGTCCAGTGCACTGCTAATCTCCTGACTGTTACCTATTTCATACAATGGACCAGCCTAAACGGTTCATGGCCGGGAGGGCTAAAATCGTGACACTTCACGGTTCAATGAGCGTAGCCTTCCAGTACTTCCAATGCAATGTTATGGCTGAATGAACACGGGGCACCTCACACGGAGGCTCGGAACATCTGAAAAATAAATTTTAGCCTTCCCGGTACGACACCGCCCATACACCTAGCAATTGAGAGGATGATTTTAAAGAGCACTAACCAAACTAAGAATTTGAAAGAATGGTTTTAATGGATGAAAATAGAAATATTTTAACAAAAGTTCAATAATATTGAACTTGAGGTTTAATTAACTGCTTTAAATATCATAATGTCATAACATATTAAATGTTTTTGTTTAATTTTTCTGCATATTATCTGTGAACCTTAAGCAAATTGGTTTCCGTAGCACAACACACCGTGTTTGTTTGTTGGTGTTCTTTATGATGAAAGGGGAGGGAGGGGGCTTTTTATGAAGGAGCAGGTACAATTTGAATCACTCTCTCTCTCTCTCTCACTCACACACACACACACACACACACACACACACACACACACACACACACGCACGCACTCACTCACTCACTCACTCACTCACACACACATTCACATCCCTAAAAGTTATACAGAACATAATGACAAAAATGAAATGAAGTGTCAGGATCCGGTTGTATCATTGCTTCATTAAGTAGAAGCAACATAAAACCCTAACGATGCATTAGATTTTGTGACTGACATCATTAAAATCGGCTGTGTCAAACACTTATTAGCATAGCATTGTCTAACGAAGTCCTAATGTATACTTTTTCACTAACCTGTTATTAAATTCCGGGATTCTCGTAAATATTTCCAGAAAGCCCAACAACTCAACAAACTCCCTGTTAACCAAAAGCAAGGACCTCGTTGACAATCTTTCCGTCACAGACGATGCTTACAGATTGTTTTCGCCTTTTTCGTCTTGTAAGTATTTATCAACAGCAAAAGCACGTGTCAGTTTGGCTGTGGGACTTTATGATATATACTTTGTTAGCTTCTCATGCTTCTATCCTGAAGGAACGCAGTAAGAACAGCGCCGAACACAAGTCAAACCAGTAATATATGTACAATACATTATTATCCATGATATGCAAATATTGATTCCGCGAAGACAAAGACGATTCATAATTTAATACTTGGCGTATTGTTTCTCGCTAAAGTTACAATATCACATATTTTCGACAATATTTGTATTATATATATTGGGGCATATGCATTACTTTTAGCTTCCTGTTGATGCAATAAACGACGTATTATCCCTTACGACTTGCCTGAAATCGATCGTTTCAACTTCGAGGCGACCAGTTTCCAAACAAAGTACTCTTGCCATATATAGAGTGTAAAAAGTTGCTTCGTACATCGAAAACTGTTGCGCGCGGTGGTGTCGTTCTTTTCCAAACTGGTTTGAATCACAAGTTGTGTGTAGGATATTCGGAAAGAGCGCTCTAAGGGACATAACTCTATGGGGCTCGCTTGAAATAATGTTCGGCCGGTAGAGGGCGCTAGAGTGGCTTTAGTGCAACGTTGCATGAATTCATTCGAACTATATGAACTAATATTGTAATCTAAATGCGTAATTTCTTTGGAATAAATTATATGGTAGCTTCCCTGGGGTCTGATAGTTATTTGTATTGAGAGACATGCATTATTCATTTTTAGAGAAGTGTGGTGTGATATAGTGCCTTTAAGCTAACACCCAGAGATACATGTGAAGTGGATATTATCTGGGGTGACCTATCTCAGTTATTCCTAGTAAGTATTGGTCAGCCTATAATGTTTCTTAAATAATCCGGTTCCTGATGTAATATTCTATCGACATTTCATATCTTATAGGGTGTCAGTTAATTGCAGATTTATCTGCACCACTTTTAAATCCCTCAGAGGTATTGTCTGATGAATTCATTGATACTTTGTTTATCTTTAAAAATATAAACATATACGTCTTTTTTTATTCAGTTTATTTGTTTAACTGTATTCAAAGTATTAACGCGATTCTGTCCCTACAATAACCAGATGTTTTGAAGACTCATTTTACAGCCTTTCAGTTTAGTGCTAATATTGTACTGTTAAAATTCACGTTGAAATAAATATTTTCTTTTCATTAGCATGTGTGCGTTGTATCTTAGACACTGCTTGTTTCCACTGATGCTTTAAGATGTGACGATATCGATGTCAACTGGTCATATGGCGGGAATGCATTCGTCACCACTCGGCCCTTTCCGTAACCTCCACGAATAGGCGGGGATGCTGCAGTTTAGATTTTAGGCCACTTTTAACGGCACTTGAGTTATATTGTGCCATGTTTACTTTGTTTACATATCAAAGTGATGCATATCCTGAACCTTTACCACGGGTCAGTGAGCGAGTTTAGTTTTACGCCATTTTCAGCAATATTCCAGCAATATCACGGCACTGTACGCCAGACATGGGCTTCACACATTGTTTCCATGAAGGGAATCAAATCCCGGCCTTTGGCGTGACAAACGAAGGCTTTAACCACAAGGCTCCCCCGCCCCCAACAAGGGAATGGTGCTGGGAAACCAGGAATGATAACGAGAGCGAATCTACATTGTGGTGTTCGAACTACAATGAACGGATATAGACACAGCTAAGGGAGGCTACTCTGTACAGACAATTGTGGGCTTGAACAACATACTCTCTCCTAACCCAAGGGCAGTTTACTTTCTTTAATAATAGCAAAAATATGTCAGCATTTCCTGATTGTGGAATTTCAAGTAACTCACATTTACTTTACTTCTAAATCCTGGAAGAGTGGTGATGCATTGCATGAAGGAAAACAGTGGACCCATGTTAGGTATTAGGACACTTTCACATGGTTTGTTCCAGCAATGTGGGAGATCTCTTGCCCACATCATTACGCTTCCACTGTCTGGACCGGTGTAATTAGTTTGAATGCATTGAGGGTTATCGTTCTCCCTAACTCAATGCAACATAAATCTGTTATCATGAGGGCGGTTGGGTAGCCTAGAGATTAAAGCGTTCGCTCGTCACGCCGAAGAACCGGGTTCGATTCCCCACATGGGTACAATGTGTAAAGCCCATTTCTGGTGCCCCCCGCCGTGATGTTGCTGGAATATTGCTAAAAGCGGTGTAAAACTAAACTCACTCACTCACTCACTCACTCACTCACTCACTGTTATCATGATACGGCCTGGGCCCCTTTCCTCAAAGCGATCGTAGTGCAAAGTTGATCGTAACTCCCATACTTTTAACATAGACTTACGATTGTTGTAGCGCTAAGATTGCTTTGAGGAACGGGGCCCTGGTCAAACCTCCTTCGGAAGGAACTGTTGCCTTTTAAGACGGGGCTGTAAAAAGACATAACCGAGTGTACCTATCCGGGGCTCCTTTGTCAATACGAGGTCAACATTACCTGGGGTGGTCATGTGGTGCGTCATGCTATGGCTAAAAAGGCTAGAGAAAGAGATTCTTTAGGGCCTATCGGATACCCTAGCAAGGGCAAGTTATGTATATCGATCCCACGTCTTTCATTAAGATACACTGTATACTGCTATGGCGGCTTTAAAGCATTAAAGCTTCCCACCTCTAATATGCAATGAGTAGTCATAAAACAGGCAGTCTACCACTTACAGTGTGTTGACAAAACAGTGTGTTGACAATACACGTAGTCCCCCACTTACAGTGTGTAGACAATAGACGTAGTCCCCCCCACTTATAGTATGTTCACAAAACACGTAGTCCCCCACTTACAGTGTGTAGACAATACACGTAGTCCCCCACTTACAGTGTGTTGACAATACACGTAGTCCCCCACTTACAGTGTGTAGACAATACACGTAGTCCCCCACTTACAGTGTGTTGACAATACACGTAGTCCCCCACTTACAGTGTGTAGACAATACACGTAGTCCCCCGCTTACAGTATGTTGACAATACACGTAGTCCCCCCCACTTATAGTATGTTCACAAAACACGTAGTCCCCCACTTACAGTGTGTTGACAATACACGTAGTCCCCCACTTACAGTGTGTCGACAATACACGTAGTCCCCCCCACTTATAGTATGTTCACAAAACACGTAGTCCCCCACTTACAGTGTGTAGACAATACACGTAGTCCCCCACTTACAGTGTGTTGACAATACACGTAGTCCCCCACTTACAGTGTGTAGACAATACACGTAGTCCCCCGCTTACAGTGTGTCGACAATACACGTAGTCCCCCACTTACAATGTGTGATTAATACACGTAGTCCCCACTTACAGTGTGTAGACAATACAGCACGTAGTCCCCCACTTACAGTGTGTCGACAATACACGTAGTCCCCCTCTTACAGTATGTTGACAATACACGTAGTCCCCCACTTAGAGTATGTTTACAATATACGTAGTCTCCCACTTACAGTGTGTAGACAATACACGTAGTCCCCCACTTACAGTGTGTAGACAATACACGTAGTCCCCCACTTACAGTGTGTAGACAATACACGTAGTCCCCCACTTACAGTGTGTAGACAATACACGTAGTCCCCCACTTACAGTGTGTAGACAATACACGTAGTCCCCCACTTACAGTGTGTAGGCAATACACGTAGTCCCCCACTTACAGTGTGTAGACAATACACGTAGTCCCCCACTTACAGTGTGTCGACAATACACGTAGTCCCCCACTTACAGTGTGTCGACAATACACGTAGTCCCCCACTTACAGTGTGTAGACAATAGACGTAGTCCCCCACTTAGAGTATGTTTACAATACACGTAGTCTCCCACTTACAGTATGTTTACAATACACCTAGTCCCCCACAGTTACAGTGTGTAGACAATACACGTAGTCCCCCTCTTACACTGTGTAGACAATACACGTAGTCCCACAGTTACAGTGAGTAGACAATACACGTAGTCCCCCTCTTACAGTGAGTAGACAATACACGTAGTCCCCCTCTTACAGTGTGTTGACAATACACGTAGTCCCCCCTCTTACAGGGTGTAGACAATACACATAGGCCCCTACTTACAGTGTGTAGATAATACACGTAGTCCCCCGCTTACAGTGTGTAGACAATACACGTAATGCCCCACTTACAGTATGTTGACAATAGACATAGTCACACGCTTACGGTGTGTAGACAATACACGTAGTCCCCATCTTACAGTATGTTGACAATACACGTAGTCCCCCACTTAGAGTATGTTTACAATACACGTAGTCTCCCACTTACAGTATGTTTACAATACACCTAGTCCCCCACAGTTACAGTGTGTAGACAATACACGTAGTCCCCCTCTTACACTGTGTAGACAATACACGTAGTCCCACAGTTACAGTGAGTAGACAATACACGTAGTCCCCCTCTTACAGTGAGTAGACAATACACGTAGTCCCCCTCTTACAGTGTGTTGACAATACACGTAGTCCCCCCTCTTACAGGGTGTAGACAATACACATAGGCCCCTACTTACAGTGTGTAGATAATACACGTAGTCCCCCGCTTACAGTGTGTAGACAATACACGTAATGCCCCACTTACAGTATGTTGACAATAGACATAGTCACACGCTTACGGTGTGTAGACAATACACGTAGTCCCCCTCTTACAGTATGTTGACAATACACGTAGTCCCCCACTTAGAGTATGTTGACAATAGACATAGTCACACGCTTACGGTGTGTAGACAATACACGTAGTTCCCCACTTACAGTATGTTGACAATAGACGTAGTCCCCCGCTTACAGTGTATAGACAATAGACGTAGTCCCCCACTTACAGTGTATAGACAATAGACGTAGTCCCCCACTTACAGTATCTTGACAATACACATATTCCCCCTCTTACAGCGTGTAGACAATACATGTAGTCCCCCATTTATAGTGTGTAGACAATACACGTAGTCCCCCACTTACAGTGTGTAGATAATACACATATTCCCCCGCTTACAGTGTGTAGACAATACACGTAGTCCCCCGCTTACAGTGTGTAGACAATACACGTAGTCCCCCGCTTACAGTGTGTAGACAATACACGTAGTCCTCCACTTACAGTATGTAGATAATACAAGTACTGCCCCGCTTACAGTGTGTAGACAATACACGTAGTCCCCGCTTACAGTGTGTAGACAATACAAGTACTCCCCCGCTTACAGTGTGTAGACAATACACGTAGTCCCCCGCTTACAGTGTGTAGACAATACACGTAGTCCCCCACTTACAGTGTGTAGATAATACACGTAGTCCTCCACTTACAGTATGTAGATAATACAAGTACTGCCCCGCTTACAGTGTGTAGACAATACACGTAGTCCGCCGCTTACACTGTGTAGACAATACACGCAGTCCCCCACTTACAGTGTGTAGATAATACACCTAGTCCCCCACTTACAGTGTGTTCTGATGACACAGGTAGTCCCCACTTACAGTGTGTTGTGATAACACAGGTAGTCCCCGCTTACAGTGTGTTGTGATAACTCAGGTAGCCCCCCTCCCCCTCCCCTTACAGTGTGTTGTGATAACACAGGTAGTCCCCCACGTACAGCGTGTTGTGATAACACAGGTAGTCCCCACTAACAGTGTGTTGTGATAACACAGGTAGTCCCCCACTTACAGTTTGTTGTGATAACTCAGGTAGTCCCCAGTTACAATGTGTTGTGGTAATACAGCCAGTCCCATCATACAGTGTGTTGCGAGAACACAGGTAGTCCCCACATAGTGTGTGTAGTGAAAACAGAGTTAGTCCCCCCACGTACAATGTGTATCCCACTTACAGTGTGTAATGCTAAGAGAGTTAGTCCCCACTTACAATGTCTCATGATTACAGGCTGAGTCCCCAACTTACACTGTGTCGTGATAGCACTGGCAATCCCCACTGAAAATGTGTCATGATAACACAGGTAGTCCAGCACTTAAAATGGGTATTGATAACACAGAGATGCAGTAATAACATAGTTAGTCCTCACTTACAATGTGTTAGAGTTAGTCCCATCTTACAACGTGTAGTAATAATAAAGTTAGTCCTGACTTACAATGTCTAGTAATAACAGAGTTAGTCCTCACTTACAAGGTGTAGTAATAACTGAGTTAGTCCTCACTTACAATGTGTAGTAATAACAGAGTTAGTCCTCACTTACAACTTGCAGTAATAACATAGTTAGTCCCCCACTTACAATGTGTAGTAATAACAGAGTTAATCCTCACTTACAACGTGCAGTAATAACATAGTTAGTCCTCACTTATAATGTGCAGTAATAACATAATTAGTGCCCCACTTACAATGTGCAGTAATAACAGAGTTAGTGCTCACTTACAACGTGCAGTAATAACATAGTTAGTCCTCACTTACAATGTGCAGTAATAACAGAGTGAGTCATCACTTACAATGTGTCAGAGTTAGTCTCCCACTTACAACGTGTAGTAATAACAGTGTTAGTCCCCACTCACAATGTATAGTTATAACAGAGTTAGTCCCCACTTACAATGTGTAGTAATAACAGAGTTATTCCTCACTTACAATGGGTAGTAATAACAGAGTTAGTCCTCACTTACAATTTGTAGTGATAACAGATTTAGTCCCCACTCACAATGTATAGTTATAACAGAGTTAGTCCTCACTTACAATGTGCAGTAATAACACAGTTAGTCCTCACTTACAGTGTGTAGTAATAACAGAGTGTGTTTTTTAAAAATATTTTTATTCATTTCAGTGAAGCATACCAGATGGCATATGAATATAATTTGATGAAACACTTATAGAATAAATAGCGCATGATACACTTATAGAAAAAAGTATTGTAGTTTGAGGATATCATTTCAGTTCCTTCTATGGTAAATATGGTACAGTGAAATAACAATGTTGGCATAGCACCCATTATAGCCAAGTATAATAGATATAATAGCGTAAAGCTCTTTTATAGTAGGTAGTGCATCGTACATTTAGAAGAGAAAAATACAGTAAGGCAAAGGATATTGTATCAGTTCCTCGTGGAAGCAAGAATTATAGTTTGAGGATACTATTTCAGTTCCTTCTATGGTACAAAGATGGTACAAAGAAATAACAATGTTGACATAGCAAACCTTATAACCAAGCACAATAGGTACAGTAGCATAGTGCACTTTTATAGTAGGTAGGTAAATTTATAAGAGAGAATACAGTGAGGAAAGGGATATTGTTTCAATTCCTTGGGCTATTACCGCCATGTTGTTATTTTTCTAATGGATGAATGAATGAATGAATCTCTTTATTTCCTCCAGATTGTAGTCCGAAGATCATTATGAACATGTACATGACATATTTACAGCAACATAATCACAGCAATATATTCACAACACATTCATATAGTCATATATACATGTACTAAGAAAAATGAAAGGTCTAGAATGCACAGTTTAGTGAGGGAAGCAAGGAATATAGGTATTTACAGAAGAGGACAATCATACATCTCCATGACATTTCATCAATATCGTTAGTAACTAGTAGTTCACCCCCAGAAAATAGTGATAACATTTCATCTTCAGATAATAATTCTATTTGTAAAATAAACATCCACATCAAAGAGATCTATAAGTTTTGAAAAGAAATTATTTCTGTTGTACATATAGTGTTCACAGTGTAAAATTACATGGCAGTCATAATCATTACAGTATCTTTTGCAGAGTTCACAATGTTTTGAGAATTTTCCCTTGAGCTGATTTGTACACAAAACTGTAATATATCTTTAAACTGTGGGTAGAAATACATCAAACAATACAGTCTATGTACACCAAAGAAGTTGTGGGTCAAGCGATATCTATTCATATCGTGCCTTACACACACTTGAGAAGCCCATCGTTCAGTTTCAAATTTATTTATGCAATTAATAGTGATTCTTCGCCATGACGATTTACATGGAAACCTTCCAAAATCGAGATAGTCACTAAGATAATTGAAGAGATTGTATTTTAAACTAGTTTGAATAAGTGTGTCACATATGCTGTGTAAGACAGCTGTTCTGTTTTGAAAGGTGGCTAAATGTGCACAGAAAATATCCTTAAATGAAGAGTTACACTTGCTGTTGCACAGCTTGCCGAGAAATAATAGTCTACATTTATCTATATAGCCATCCATACTCCACAATCCAAGGTTACCTAGCACTGAAGCAGAGGAAAAGCGCTTACCGAAACCCTGAATGCATCTGGTAAAATATCTCTGTGTACTTTCTACCAAGTCATAGTCTTTACCTCGAAGAATGGGTAAAAGTTCACAACCGTAAAAGCTCGTTGGAAGTATCATTCTTTTCCATATTTTAACAGAAGAAGTAGGGTGGAGATCTTTACCATTTAAACCAAGACTTTTTAGAGAATTTACAGATTGCCGTGCTTTCTGGCAGTATGAATATACTCTAGATTTTGGGGATAGATCAGACGAAAGTAAAATGCCTCCATACTTAACACAATCACTTATTGGTATGTCTGAATCACCAAATTTGAAAGAATAATTACCCAGACGTTTCTTATATTTGCAGAAAATGACACAAGTGCTTTTAGAACCGTTATACGTTAGAGGCCACTTACCAGCATAGCTATAAACAGTATCAAGTGATGATTGAAGACCTTTTGGAGAAGTGGAAGCAAGTGTTGTGTCGCCAGCCAATAGAATACATGGGATATTAATGCCACTTACACAAATGCCATTGTTCAAATCTCTAAGTTCACATATCAAATCATTAATAAAACAAGGAAAAACCAGGAAGACAAGACTCTACCTTGCCCAACGACTTGCTTGATAACATATTCATTTGATCTCAGACCACAATATTGCACAAAAGCAGAGCTTGATGTATAACTTTGATATAGGAGCTGCCACATTTTGCCCTTTATACCCATTTGATATAGCTTTAAAAAGAGTCCATTATGCCATATGCGATCAAACGCCTTCTCATTGTCCATAAAGGCTGTATAAACTGGAGAACCCCTGCTTAGATAATATGATAAACTTTCGTTTAGAGTAAAGACTGAAGTGGTTGCTCCATGTTCCTTTCTAAACTGATTCTATCTGATTTGATCACTTTGTCATAAAATGTTCTACAGCCTTTAGAAGGTGTAAGCAGAGTTAATATCGCTTCATTAATACCAAGATTTTGATTTTCCAGTTTATGGTCATTTATTGTGGCTTTCAATCAATCAATCAATGCTTTATTGTTTTCAAGGCCATATGACCCATAATACATTGTTACATTTTTTGTTCATTAATTGCCAGCATGAGTTTCAAAGATCAAAGATATTCTCCTCTTATGCGAAACACATTATACAGATATTTTCCCAGCATAAACAAGTGGGTACAATCAGTAGAAATCAATAATGATTTTAAATTATCGATATTTTTGGTATGAGTGGATATACATGGAACATCATTACGAAATTCTTTGTACAGAGGACAATGATATATAATGTGACATTCATCTTCGGTAACTTTACAAAGAGAACACATAGAATCTTTATCTTGATAATCACTTAAGTCTTTTCTAATACACTGTATGCCTAATCGGTTGAAGCAACATCTAAATAAGAGAAGCGCTTTTCTATATTTGATATCTTTAACATTGTATATGTACAATTCTGGAGAAAGTGAATGTTTTATAAAAGAGTAGAATTGTAATGACGTTCTATCAGATAGCTCAGAATGCCAATCTTGCCTGGCGCAGTCAATCACTCTTTCTTTAAAAATATTTAAAAACATATCAATATCCCCTACCCCTTGTTGAATCCATACATGGCCAAACCCATAAGTAAATAATAGATGCATTATATTAGTTGCCCAATTAGACCGTTTTCTATTACACAATTGTTTCATCATAAGGTACGATTGGTGAGGATATCTATATGACGGCATGGTGATTAATTTCAGCCAATATCTTATACAATTCTTGTATGATTTCACATATAATGGATATCTCCCACACTCACCATACACAGCAGCATTAGGAAATGACTTACTAACATTTAATAAATATCTGCAAAATGATCGGTGAACAATTTCTAGCTGCTTCATTTCCTTGAATCCCCATATTTCGCTACCATACATTAAAATCGGTACAATTTTCGCATCGAATATCTTAAAGGCATCTGTAATATCTATATTATATTTGCGAATAAGACATTTCAAAGGGAATAAGGCTTTGTTTGCTTGTTGCGATAAAACGGTACAGGCTCTTGTCCATACAAGCTTAGGGGTCATCATGATACCCAAATATTTATATGCATTAACTACTTCTATTTGTTCATCATTATAAGTCCACTTTTCATATCGTGATAATGGTCCCCCCGTTTCTGAAGACAATCACTTTTGTTTTGTCGAGATTGATCTCCATGCCCCATTTCAAACAATAATTATGTAGGAAATCTAGCTGTTTTTGCAACTTCAGAGGGGTATCAGCCACTAATACTAGATCATCTGCAAATAGTAATGATAACACATTATACATTTCCTCTGATATAAATACACCATTGTCAAAAAGTTTGACTCATTGTTTCCGAGAGTTCCTTGATAAATATCGAAAACAACAGGGGGCTAAGAGCACAACCTTGTCTAACTCCTGTAGAGCAAACAAAATAATCAGATAATTTATTTCCACCAATAACAACTGCAGACTTCACCTTATTGTACAAATCTTTGAGAATATTAAATATATTTCCATGTATACCATTATTTAAAAGGAGAAATAAAAGCTTTTGTCTATTAACCATATCGAAAGCCTTTTTGAAATCAACGTATGCACAGTAAAACCTTCCTTGTTTTCTTGTTGTATACTTTTGGATAATAGATTGCAGGATAAAAATGTTATCTATTGTCGAATGGAGTTTTCTGAAACCACCCTGATATTCTCCGATAAGGCAATTACTCTCAATGTAATCATCTATTCGCCTGTTAATTATATTTGTAAACAGCTTGCTCATAGTATTAAGCAAGGAAATGCCTCTATAGTTGTTAGGTTCGTTAGGATTACCCTTCTTATAAATAGGCATTATTATTGCAGTACTCCAAGCTTCAGGGAACTCCCCTTTATCTAGAATGCGATTAAAGAGAAGAACAAGATATGGGGAAATAAATTCCTTAATAATCTTGAAAAATTCTGATGGTATTCCATCATTACCCGGCGTTTTATTTGGTTTCGATCTATCTATTGCTGCCTCTACTTCACATATAGTTATAACATCTGATAGATCATTGTCACCACATTTGCTACAATTATGACAATCATGTTCATTAACAAAAGTTTCAATATAGTCATCAAACACACTGTCGCCATTCATGTTTAACATAGGGTTCAATAAATCTTTAAAATACGAATGCCACATTTCTGCAGATATATTACAGTTATTATTTGATTTAGGTGAATATTTCTTAACAAGACTCCAAAAGCTTTTATAATCATTACTCTTGGATGCTTCAGTTAACGTTTTGGAGACACTTTCACAAAATAACCTTTGTTTCCTTTTACACAGCTGTTTAAACCCTTTTCTGCTTTGATCATATACACTAAAAGTAGCTGTAGATGGATATTGTCTAAGATGATCTAAATATTTATATTTGGTTTTCTTAGCCAACTGACATTCTAAATCAAACCACTCTGGCTGTTTTCTTTTATGATTAAACAGTATCAAGTGATGATTGAAGACCTTTTGGAGAAGTGGAAGCAAGTGTTGTGTCGCCAGCCAATAGAATACATGGGATATTAATGCCACTTACACAAATGCCATTGTTCAAATCTCTAAGTTCACATATCAAATCATTAATAAAAACAAGGAAAAACCAGGAAGACAAGACTCTACCTTGCCCAACGACTTGCTTGATAACATATTCATTTGATCTCAGACCACAATATTGCACAAAAGCAGAGCTTGATGTATAACTTTGATATAGGAGCTGCCACATTTTGCCCTTTATACCCATTTGATATAGCTTTAAAAAGAGTCCATTATGCCATATGCGATCAAACGCCTTCTCATTGTCCATAAAGGCTGTATAAACTGGAGAACCCCTGCTTAGATAATATGATAAACTTTCGTTTAGAGTAAAGACTGAAGTGGTTGCTCCATGTTCCTTTCTAAACTGATTCTATCTGATTTGATCACTTTGTCATAAAATGTTCTACAGCCTTTAGAAGGTGTAAGCAGAGTTAATATCGCTTCATTAATACCAAGATTTTGATTTTCCAGTTTATGGTCATTTATTGTGGCTTTCAAAGTAATAGGAATATTACTCAAAACTCTGTTGTAATCTAAAAAGGTACCTTTAACTAAGAATCTATTTTTAAACTCATCAAAGGATAATAGCCCATCAAAGTTACGTAAATGTTTAATCTCAGTTACACCCTTATTGAATCAATAACAAATAGGAAGAGAAGGGTTTGCAAAATGATGATTTAGCCACAACGGTTCATGAAGTATTTTCTGATAGTCACATTGGACAATTCTAAAGGAAGATCTGTACCTCTTCCATGCATGAAAAACATCTTTCCAGTAAAGGTTATCAAGTTCCTTAGATAGATCAATATTAGCTCCTACTTGGAGTAATGGTATAATGGGAACATTGCAGGGATTGTTGCAAGGAGCTCTACAAAGGCATCTGTTCTGTTCAATGCTGCTATTTTAAATGAGTCGATGAAAGAAAGGATATCTGTCATCCTAATTCCCCCCTCCCGGTGGTCCTTTTTCAATGTTACTCTTTTTATTTTGTCCGGTTTCCCATTCCACAGAAAAGAAAAAAACATTTGCTCTAAGTCTTTAATAAAAGCATTTGGTGGATTAGATAGAGCTGTAAACATATGAACTAGTAATAACAGAGTTAGTCCTCACTTACAAGGTGCAGTAATAACATAGTTAGTCCTCACTTACAATGTGCAGTAATAACAGAGTTAGTCCTCACTTAAAATGTGCAGTAATAACATAGTCAGTCCTCACTCACAATGTGTAGCAATAACAGAGTTAGTCCCCACTCACAATGTATAGTTAAAACAGAGTTAGTCCTCACTTACAATGTGCAGTAATAACATAGCTAGTCCTCACTTACAATGTGCAGTAATAACAGACTTAGTCCCAACTCACAATGTATAGTTATAACAGAGTTAGTCCTCACTTACAACGTGCAGTAATAACATAGTTAGTCCTCACTTACAATGTGTAGTATTAAAAGAGTTAGTCCTCACTTACGGTGTGTAGTAATAACAAGGTAAGTCCCCACTAACAATGTATAGTTATAACAGAGTTAGTCCCCACTTAATCCATCATGTATTGCTCGCTTCATTGACTGAAAGAAATTTGATGTCTGAAGTCGAAAAATACTTTTAGTATTAATATGTTCAAACCGATATGTTTCATCACAGGGTTAAAGAAGTCAACAATGTATATGACCTGCATATAAAGACAAACACCAATATAACAGCTCCTGTATAACAACCAAGTTCTCTCTCACATCTGGAATATGATTTAAGCCGGTTTATAAAACAAATCACTTTTGTTGGTCAAAAGTTTCAGTATAATACGTGATGGGTTATAAATGCACATTCACGGGAGATTGAACTGTCTTACTGGAATTTGTACAAACAAAACATGCTGCTATGAGATGATACGTCGATACTATATGGTTATTTTTTATAACATCATTCGGGACATTTAAGAGCATTTGTTTGCTCAAAACGTTTTACATGGTATGAGTGAATACGTGAGTTTACTTTTACGCCGCTTTCAGCAATATTCAAGCAATAACACGACGGGGGACACTAGAAATGGGTTTCCCACTATGTATCAATGTAGGTAATCGAAGCGGGTCTTCAGCGGGACGAGCGAACGATTTAACCGCAAGGCTACCCAACCGTCCCTTTGTCATGGGGCTAATCATATAATCGACGGAAAACATAAAAATTCAAGTTATATATACATTTCATATATTCATTGAATGGCATGGTACAAGAATCAGCATACCTATCAGTGTGAGTCTACATCGGGAGTTAAGGTAACAGTTACTATGTTATTATACTCCCCATCAAAATGTTAGACTCACTAGTGAACATGTAGCCACTTACTTGAGGAAACTGTTCTAAACTAAATTTTGCAAAATATTCCATACTGTTTAATGTGCTGTTTATACATGAACTGATGTATTGTAAAACAAATTCATGACGTTGAAAAGATTATTGTCATGCGTTCAGTAAATGATGAAACTCCGTTAAAAATGGCGAATTCTTATCGGAACTTTACACCAAAACGCAGCTGTTCACATGCACGATATTTGAATATACTTTTCAGCAGTTTGATGCATGATCCTCGTGCAATTAATCTGCAAAACGTTTGCACTTGTTTCCCCCAAGTTAGTGGAGAAATTCCTCTTCGTTGTGACCATTTATACATACATAACATATAGTGAATGTTTTAAGCGAGTCTAAACTTTTGATGGGTAGTATATTTGGGTATTGTATTGTTCCCGAGGGCTAGCGGCTTAGAAACTTCATTTGGTGGGGTCAGGCAGCTTCTTGTGCGGGCGGGTTCACTCCACCTTGTGGGAGTGGGTATGCTGCATTTTGTGGGGGCGGGTACGTTCCCGGCCTCTCTCAGGGATAGGCTGCTTGAGTGTAGGCTGGAGCCGGCGGGTATGCCCCTGGAACCGGGGGGTATGTTGCTGGAGTCGGAGGATATGCTACTGGAGCCGGACCATATCCAGGAGTGTAGGCTGCGTTTGTTGTGCCTGAAAAGGACATGAGTAAGTGAGTGATATAGTAATATTCCAACAATATCACGGCAGGAACCCCAGAATTTGGCTTCACACATTGTACCCATTTGGGGAATCGAACCCGGGTCTTCGGCGTGACGAGCGAGCACTTTAACCACTAGGCTACCCCACAGTCCCCTTGAACAGGATAACTACGTGCAGACCAGTCAAGCTAAACTAACAACTAGTCTCTGAAATGAACATATTTTACAGAGTAGTATATACAATGGGGTTCTGGACCAGTTCAACCAAAGCCTCTGCAAAGCCTTATTTCACAGATAAGGACCCTTAGCTCTTGCTACCATTACCCCATCTATAAAAAGTTTGGGACGCCTAGCGGATAAGATCTGAGCGCGCTACTGAGCTACCTTGGGGACATGGGTGAAGTAACGGGTATTGCCGCTATGCCATGTTGACTGGAGGTAACACTGTGCCGTGCGGTGCGATCAATAATTCCGCTCTTAAAAACCCCCTACCTGGCCCATCCCTCAAGTAGTACAAGTTAGGCTCGTCTGCTTTGATGTCCACTTTATCTATGGTGTAAGTTTTGACTGACCACATAGGATCGGTGGCTCGCTTACGGCTATCACCCTCGTGTTCCCCCGGCTGGTATAGATACCTCACTAGGGCCCTATCTGGTATCTGTTTCTCTTTTCCACGCAATGGAGCAGCCGATTCTGCCACTATTGATTTTAGTTTGATAGCGTCTGCCGGTTTCTTGCCGGTGAGACGGGTGACTTCATTGTTGATTGCAGACACCACCTTAGGTAACCTCGTGACCCATTCAGTCGATCGCTTCCCCGGGTTGGCCATCTCCCTCGCATACTGATGTCCGAATAAGCGCTCAGCCAAAGTCCTATTGAATCTCTCAACTATGGCTTGGCTGCGATGGGCTCCGGCCGTGCCACGCCTGGCCCTTGTATCGTGTTTATCCAGCAGGTGTGACACGGCACCCATGAACTCCCGCCCGGGGTCAACTTGCAGCTCTGTTGGCCACGTCAGCGGACTGCGTTTGTATATGCGTTCGAATCCTCTGGCTACCTGGACCGAATCTTTCGTGGTCAAGGGTTCAGCTTCCTTGTAACGACTAGCCACATCCACGACAGTTAAGGCATACTTGTACCTATTGTCGTTGGGTAGGAACAGTAGGTCTGCCTGGTGAACGCTATTGGGTATGTTAATACCGAACTTCCTTCTAGGCACGTAGCGTGGTGCCGGTAAATAGATCTGCCACAGGGCTTGTTTTTTTAAGCCACGCTTTGGCCTCCTCCGGGGGTACTCGCGCCATTTTAGCTAGCTTATCTACAGCGCTAGCTCCTTTCCAGTACCACGCGGGCTGTAGTAAATAGCCTCATACTTTCTTTGGTTCCGTGACATGTCGTCCCGATATTTATATCTATGTTCTTGGTTCAATTTTCTCATGCCCGTACGCGTACGTGTTTATCCCATCAATAGCTATCCAACGTTTAGTGTCCATAGGCGACAGGGACGTCTTGTTTATAGTCAGTCCGTATATCTTATGCCCATCACTTCTAAGTGTGTTCATTTTATGCCTAAAGGTACGGGTCTTGAACAGGGCTTCCTTGAATCTGGCGTGTTTGATGTGTTGTTTCACCACGTACTTCTTAACACCCTTAGCCTTCCGGATCTCACCATTGTCGGCCTTCAGTATGGAATACATCTTAGGCCTCAACCCTATGTACTCGGCTATGGGCGTGCCAGCACACTCGTCCTTCATCTTACCTAGGACCTTTTTATTTACTGTACTGTGTATGGCATGGTCCTTAGGGTAGTCGCTGGTGTCATACAAATCGAGGTGTTTTTTTCATGTCCTCGTACACATCCTCGGTTCGAATCTCCATCAGCAGGGAATCCGTGTCAGTGTACAGCACTTCACACCTGTCGTTGTACTGTTTCTTAAGCTCGTTGTAGTAAAAGTCGTACATCAGGTGTTTGGATAAATCGAGGATGCTCATCCCCACGTAAACAGGCCGGTTGAATTTTATGTGGCTTTTCTTCATGTGTAGGGCAACCAGGTCATCGGTGAATATCTTGCTACGGTTGAATGCCGGACTGGCTATCAGTCTCCTGAGCTTGTCTTCCTCATTCGACCAAACCAGCTTCATGGTCACGCGTTTCCTCAGGTTCTCCATAGTCTTACCGAACACCGAGTTGTTCATGAGCTTGTAGAGATTTTTCTCAAAGTCACTGGTAGCAAGCTTTCGGAGGTCTGTGTTCATTCTGATGTAAGGCTCCATCCATGGGCTCTGGTTGAACACGAGCACCCTGTGTATTTTGGTCAGCCTCATACCCAACGACAGGTACAGCTGTAGGTTGTGATAGTGAACGATGTACTTGGTCTTATTCATTAAGTTGGGCACAAGTTTTTCAACGTCCGTCACCCGCCCACCTAACAAGTTATGTTAGTACTCAGACATCCAGTCTGGGTTAACCCTCATACGTTCGGGGGCCAGGGGGTAGCTGTTGTGTGATGTGTGTAATGTCTTGGGGTACTCCAAGTCAACCTCGAGGATATAACCTTTGTTCGAATCTGGTGCGATGCTCATAACATCAAAATCGGGCGGCACCCATTCGAATCCCCCCTGTGGGTAGATACTGGCTCATAGCCCAGCCGTACAGGTTGTTGGCGTCGAGGTAGAGAATGTGATTGGTTGGCTTGCTAGGGTCGTAGCCCTTCACGTATTGATTATTTGCTTTCGCGTATCGTTTGGTTGCCATGGAGATCCCACCTCGCAAGCCTTTCTCAATGAATAGGTGCATGTCATAATCCGTAAGCAATTCCAACTTAACTCCGGTCTTTTTAAGCAAGGCATCCCACGACAGACCTGGGCTGGTGTAATACCATGCGGGGTCGAGTTTATACTGCTTGAAACATGTCCGCCTAAACGTCTCAAACACGTCGGCTAACAGCAGTACATCTGTCCTCAAATACAGGTCGTGATAATCACCCAGGTTCTTACAACCCAGTTTATTCCATACATTAATAGCGTGGGAGTAATCATCTTGGGATATTTCCGAGTCTGTCAGATTGCTGTAAAATTCTCTGATGGGGGGGTAGTCTGGTCTCGGTGAACTTAGGCCAACTATCCATGTACTCATAGGGGTACACACCCTTCCTCATAAGCAGGGGTCTAGTCTCTGGGTCTGTGTATCGGTCGGTGATAGGGAAGGTATCGTTGGCCTTGACCAGACTGTCTAATGAAGACAATAGAAATTGTACTGAATCTATGAACCTAAGGCCGTTTAAGCTGAAGGAGATGTATCTCTCCATGTTGTTGGGGATGCACGTTATATTACCATCGATTTTCGCGATGGCCTGCATGATTAAGTGAGAGTCGTACCCTCTCAAGTTGTGAAAGACAACGGGAATGTTTATTGTCTTAGGGTTGATTCTAAGCTTGCTGTGAGCCGCGCCTCTATACTTACCGGTTATGTGGCAGTGATCTCTCACGGAATCACCGTTCAGTGGTGAGTCACACACGTGACAATTAGTGCTACAGGCGTGAGCTAGCCGCTCGGCTTTGGTCATACGCATGGGAGCGACTCTATACAGTGCGTTCCTAATAATTTTTTCTTCCTCCTGCAAACATTTTAGAAACCTTTCAGCCGCGTCAGGGCCCCTATACACTACGGGAGCTTTTGTTTCCCCGTCACAACGGACGACAATGTATCCAAACCCACAGGCTTCATGCTCTTGTGTTTTATGTGTGAAGCTCTCACCTGTAGGTAGAGCATTGGGAGTACCCCCAACAACAGGTTTGACCAAGGCTTCAAAGTCGGCGTATATGATATAAGGCACAGACATTTGGTTCTTGTGGTTACCGAATTTTAGGATATTATCACCTTCCTTAGGCATGTCGACCCGTATAGCCGTCTGCCCCACACCTTGGCAATCCTCCCGGTGGGATTCTAATAAATCAGCTCGTGTGAAGCCATGTAGGCACCGTTCGCAGAAGTGGGTCTTTTCTCTGTGTGCTGATTGGTCATACAACAGCCTGCTAAAGTGTTTTATCCATGTGTAGTGGTACTTGTCACCTCGCTGAATCATGAATATATTGATAACGCGAGGGGGGGTTTGGGGTTTCCCCAACAAACTGACCCTGTGCACTATTGTTGTGTTACCTTCGTGCCCGAAGACATTTATAGCTAGATTATTCTGTTTTTCTATTTTAGTTATCTGGGATATGGGGGTGGGTTCATCTATACCATCCCAGTTGAGCCCATCGTCTTGGGGATAGCTAGAAAGCCTGTCTGAATGAGTGTCAGCTGGAAACAAGGCTGACCTGATAGCTACCCTCAGGCAATCGTCTCCTCTATTCTTGACGTTGACCATGGCATGTTTTTTCCTATAGTAGGGAGGCAAGTCTAGGTATGACCCGCCTCTGAACGGCACGTAGTTAGCTATGTCTAGATAGGCATTATCGATTTTATCTACAGTCCACCCGGACCCCAAGTGTGTGTAGCGTTCTAGGTATTCTCGTATCTGCTGAAAACTGGTATCGATTGATGCGTCAATGGTCTCTATATGGGTCACGACCTGCTGTTTACCACGGAAGTAAGGCTGAACGTACTCAGTGACCCCAGTGGGTGTTCCCCCCACGCCCCCTACCTGCTTATCGAGTGACATTTTAACTGTGATCTGAAATTTGATACTTCCTAGACTGGTTAGTTCCTGGTTTATTTTATCAGCTATCAGAGGTTTGATATCTGCGATATCTATGTTCCTATCAACATGCATGCGCCAGCCTCTCAAATAGTTACCTACAGCGCGCTCAGTGGGTATGAACTGTAGGTCAATAGCTCTATTCTGCCGTAACAGTTCTACAAGCTGTGGTTTCCTCATACGGGAATATCCCCCTAACCCCAAATCACGTGCCTGAACTTTCAATTGTTTTACAGTTGGAGGTTTGGCTACGGGGGCATGTGATAACAATGCGTTTATCCCGGCTCTCCCC